ACCTGAGTGTTATGAGCCCGGAAAACTCACACGGATCATCGCCTGCATCACCGATCAACGCAAATCAGCAAACGATAGACTCTCGATCCGCAACCTTCTCCACAACCAACCTTGTTATTCCATCACATCTTCCACAATGCCGACAGAAAACGTCATCCTGTCATCGCCAGCCGCATGGGAAGCTTGGATTCAAATTATCCAGGCAAAGGCCGAACGAAAGAGAATCTGGGGCATCATCGACCCATCGAAAACAGATGCGAACGCCGATGAACTACTTCCAGAACCTACGAAGCCCGTACCCCCAGCAGCGGACGACAATACGTCCACCTCGAAAATCACCTGGAAGATGGCATACGATGAATACAAGGACAACAAGGTCCAATTCGACAAACAAGAAGAATCACTACAGGACCTACGCATTTTTATCCTACAAACCCTGGATGCGAAATACACTACGTACACCTACGGTATCTCATCGGCACGCGGCCTACTTACCAAACTCAAGAAATCCATCGCGCCATCAGATGAAGCACGCCGGAACGAAATCTACAACCTATGGCAGAAGCAGAAGCACTACCCCGCTGAACAAACCGTAGAAAAATGGCTAATGGACTGGGAAACGCTGTACAGCGATGCATCAAGGCTACGGCTGCCCGAAGCTGCCGACAACCGTGCCCAAATCGATTTTCTACTGTCCCTAATGGGAAAACATCCAGAATTCGCAGGCTACTGGCGCCAGGAGATCGCACGCCGAACAGACGCCAAAGAATTAGCACCTAGCCTAGCGGATCTAGTCAGCAAGTTCAGAATGCAGCGGCACGAGAAACTAGCGTCCCAGGGCAAGGATCCCCTCTCGGCCTACGCCACTACGTTGCAGGGCCAGGAAATCAAACCAAAGGCAAAAGCCAATTCCCCTAAGGCCCTAAAGCCCTGCCTATGCGGAGAAACCCATCTGTGGCGTAATTGCCCGTATATCTGTGCTGACAAACGTCCTACTGGCTGGCAGATAGATACGGAAATTCAAGAAAAAGTAAAGGAAGCGCTTGAGCAACGGCATCCAAAGAGCCAGGAACGGATCCGAAAGATGCAGGAGGAATTTCAGGGCCCTACTCCTGGGGCTATCTCTGCATTTGCAGTTGCATTCTCGGGAACAGATCGTTCCTCTACTCCAGATCGTTCCTCTACTCCAGATCGTTCCTCTACTCCGCCAGCAGCATTCTCAACGGCCCTACCGTATCAGCTACGGAATTCCGTTATCCTAGATTCAGGTGCTACAACGCACGTTTTCAACGCTGCACATTGGTTTGAGGACAACATCGAACAAACGAACACCACCTGCTATACGGGAAAGGGTGTAGAATCTATTACTGGATTCGGGACAGCCAAAATATCACTAGAAAGTTCAAATGGCGTACACTACGCCATGCTTTCCGATTCCGCCTATATTCCAGGGTTCAACGTGAACATCGTCTCTCTCCGGAAACTAAACGCCAAAGGGGTGTTCTGGAACA